AGAGAGAGAGAGAGAGAGAGAGAGAGAGAGAGAGAGAGAGAGAGAGAACGAACTCAGGTTCAACAACCAACACCCAAACAAAACCAAACGGATTTTTAAGAGCCTAAAAAGAAGTGGTCATTTTATCTTGCAGGTAGCATCATTGTATATCTGAAAATTCACAGGAAAAAAATTAATAGGAAAAAAAAAACCTGCTACAAATAACATGAGCTGAGAATACTAAGGAGATGGAGCAAGACAGTTTCTACCTGGGTTTGGAGGGTTATTCCATGTGTCTGCCTGTGGTGATGTGTGTTAAAATCCAGAGGAGTGTATACCAACCAAACAAGAAATTAAACAAGCCAATTAAACAAGATTACTTCAATACAGTCAAAGTCGACTACAATCTAAGAACAGTTTGGAAAAGACTGACATTTTCCATACAAAATAAAAATTTTTAGAGGCCGTAAACAAGATAAGTAAGTAAGGCAAACTGACAGAACATTTGGGATCTAGGTCACAGAAAAATGAATAGTATTTCCAACACAGAAAGTGTTTTGAGTGATTTAAAATAATTGGAAGTAGAGATAAAGGTACTATAATAAAATATGTAAAAGAAATGAATAGGCAATGCACACTGAAAAGAAATCTAAATGATCCTTATTTATATAAAAAAATCTATTCAACTTCCCCAATAAAAGAGATTCAATTTTACATTATATAAAGTATAATTTCAGATCTAATAGATCAGCAAAGACCCACAAATATGAATAAATGATCCATAAATCATGCTCTTGGGAATAGGCATTTTTATATATTTTCTGGCTGAAATGTCAAAGTTATACTCCTTACACAGGACAACTGGAAAACCACATGTATCTTTAATCATTGCTACGTAATCTCATTAGCAGGAATCATCTTGAATACATGTCTCCCGAGACACAAAGAATAACTCGAGACTGCCCCCCAAAACACAGTACATCCCTATAACAGGATACAATGCAGTTATTGAGAGAAACCAGAGAGAATACCTGTACATTGATTCAGGGCGACCCAGAATATATTTTTAAAAGGAAAACTGTAAAAAGTATGTAGCAATGTATAGTGACTTATCTTTCCGATACCAAACTAAATGATAAATGATAATAATTGAAATTGTCTCCAGTGAAGATAACGATAGGGACAGGACATGAATGTGGGCTATAGATACCTTGTGTGGAATGCCCTGGGAACATAGTTTTACCTTATATCTCCTATTTACAGGAGGAGGGGGGAGGGGGAAGAGGGAGGGGGAGTAGGAAGGGGAGGAGGAGGAGGGGGAGGAGGAGGGGGAAGAGGAGGGGGAGGAGGAGGAGGGGGAGGAGGAGGGGAAGGAGGAGGGGGAGGAGGGAAAGGGGAAGAGACAGATGGTGAAATTTAACATTGGCTGAATATTTGACTGACAAATATGGGGCTGTCTGGAATATCACTTATTATCAAGTTAATGGTTTTTCTGTAGCCACTCAGATGGATAAGAATTTGTAAGGGAGATGACGTTAACACAAATAAGTGAAAATGTAATATTAAGAGTTGTTCACATAAATCTGAGGAAAAGATGCTGAAGTTTGTAGATATATGTTAGTTTAAGTATAAATAATTTTGTAATACAGTAAGTGAGACACTGAAAATGCTATTATTGAACTCTTTGGAAAGTTAATACATATTTCCTCTCTGTTAATTCCATCAGTTTTTTTTATTTTCTAATTAATTCGAGGTCTGTTGAACGATTTCCTATGTTTTTCTCCTATGATATACATTTAGACAAGCCAGTGGAAGTAATCTCTGTCTCTGTTTTGTATGAAGAGTTTGGAATCGAATGGGAAGGTGGAACTCCCTCCTCCCCTCCCCCTCTGTGCTTTCTGACCTTTTCACTCACTTGAAATGTTTGATTAATAAAAAAGTAATCTGTGGCATGCTTCTTGTTCATCCGTTTCTTCCCATCCTCTAAGAAGCACAGCATGTCTTTTGCCCGCGCTTCACAGTGGCTTAACATCTGCACACTCAATATTGATGATTCTCAAGCATAAAAGTCAATAGACTTTAGTTTACAGATGAGAAACAAGCAGGGACTTGGGTTTTAAACAGAGACACTTTGAAATTCTACCCTGTGATACACTTCAAAAGTTGACAGTGATTCACATAAATCACAGCTTCTATTTTCAAACCCAAACTTTGACTTCTGTCTTCATGAATATTACCTGACAGTCATAGTACGCGGCAGCTATTTCTCTTCTGATACAGCAGTTACTAGAATGCTAAATTGCCCACAGTATCCTGCTACTTTTATGAAAAAATTGATTATTTTTAGACAATTTTCTATTCATATTTTTTGGCTCACAGATAAAGCTAATTTTTTAACAGACATATTTACATTATTAAGGGATAAAAGCTGGATTAGTCTGGGATATTAGCACATGGAG